ATTCATCAGCACTTACCTTTTAAGAAGCTTCACTTTTGACTCTTGCTTTCCCACTGTAAAGCCTCTGGTCTCCACGTATCGTTTGAGGTCTTCAAAGGTGTTATCTTCTAACGAAGGGCAAGGTAAAATTGCCCCTGGAACATCCGCCGGTAAAAATTTTACAAGACACTCCGCCATTTTGTTTGTTTACCCCGAGCGTATCCCATGGTTCCTTGCACAAGGCTTTCGTGACGTAAAAGTTTCAGAAGGCTATTGGCTTTGACGTAGGTGTGTTGAGCATACACCGGTACATCCCAGAAAGCTTTAGCATCATCCGACTCATAGATAGGTTTTGRAGTCACAGGTGAGTACCAAGGGGGAACACTTTCCACTAATTTAAGATCTTTGCACTTCTCAAAGAATGGTCGAAGTAAATGTTGGATTTGGATGCTGCATATTTGTGTGCTTCAGTTAGTAGTGACGAATGGCCTTCCGCCGCTGCTTTCTCCTCAAACATCTGGACAGTTTTCATCGTAGTGTCTGCATTGTGATAGAGCTTTACAGCAGCTTTAATCTTTGTAAGCTTGTACTCGTATTCGACGGATCTCAGGCCACGCCCTTATTATTATTATCATTATTATTATCATTATCATTATTATTATTATTTCCTGCTTTATGATCGTTATGTTTTATCTAAAATATCCTGTTGCCGGCTGACCTCGGGAAAACATGGACAACTGAAAATCTTGACCCCTTAGCAATCAATATCTTCGCAGATGGCTAGAAATCCCCTGATATCTGGAACCCTAAGTAACACTTATCTACTACGAAATAAATTTCAAGTTCATTCAATGTCAAAATGTGAGAAGAAACGGTTCTTCAGAACCTCTTTGTCATGTTGTTGCTGGATGCCAATACTATCTATCAATACCATCTTAAACTTCCTCGCTGCATCACTGCTATCTAAACTCGACAAATCTTCATTATATGCTGACATTGAAGGTTATACCAGCCCCTCGCTTATAACTGGAGATGCCCATCTTCCTGATCCTTCTGATAAAAACACTAGACCGTCTTTATATTCTGGAACTAACAGTTG